CGATGTGGCATGAGAATATTGTTAGTTGTGTAGATCATGGTTGTACGAGGGCTGGGATACTGCCAGGGCGCCCAAACCTAGACAGGAGGACGATTAGGGTCCTCAACCAAAGCCTTTGGTTCAAAAGCCTAACCGCAAGGCAGCGGGGTTTGGCGGGAAATGCAAATGCATTACCATTTCTACGGAACAAGTCGCCACATGTTCCAACCCCCAATCTGGAGGGCCAGGAGACTGTGTTCGTTAGACCTCTAACCATTGACCAACCTGGTATGAGAGACTCTGTGAGTGTCGCGAGACACTGTCCAGTATAGCTCAATGGATCGCTGAGGTGCGCAAACCGTCACACCACGGTAAGGTCCAGTCTCTTCGTAACGGTAGTGCTGCATGTTCTACCCAACTGGTGCTCCAGCTGGGGTGCCGAAAGCCCGTTTTATAATTATCTCGTCACGATCTCGTTGACACCACTCGAAAACAGCAACGCTTCTGAGAAAATGATGGGCAAAAACCTGGGGACGAATTGCATCACCTTCCCGTAGGGGCCACATTTCGCAATCGTACAACAAAGCAGTCCTTCCTGGTACACATAACCCTTGAGAACCAGTGTTATGCCTTCTTGGCGTTTCAAGTAACACATTAGCAAACATGATTCGAACCTCCGAGATTCGTGCACTGACTTCATTTGACGCACTCGTCAAAACTAATGCAGCTACTGGAGTACGTAAAACTCCCCACAACCTACGGTTATTCTCACTGAATTGCACAAGAGAAATTTTCAGACTGCATATTCTGGAACACATTGTGAGTGCTAGACGGACGATGGTAGACGGTACGACAGCGATTTGCTTATCCGCTAGCGCTTGTGTTTTGCTTCGACATCCAAAATTAGCGCAATGTCGTCTGCATACCCTACATGTACTGGATGTTTGGACACAAGGTCCGTTTGTCGTTACCGCCCGCCTGGTGAATGCCTATACAATTCAAAACGGTCGGGGATCGAAATAAGTAAATGGGACTCAGCTTCGGAAGTGGCATGATGCACCCGAGGAGCGACCGAATATGCCAGCTGCTGGAGCCGACCCAACGAAGGTTGATGAAAATCGGTTGCATGCGAACGACCTTCAAAGGGGGAAAGTGTGTAACAGTGGATACTACTGATGAGGCATGCGAGTAACATGTTTTCTTGTAACTCCGCCTTGCGGAGGCGGCGCTGTGCAGCACATTCACTTGAAGAAGAACATCACAAACCAAATAGGTTTTGCAGATTTGTCGACTGTTCTCCTTCCTTTGATGGGTGAAGGTTAGTTGTCCCGTTTGACTCCAGTGGTGCCATGTGTCAGACTAACCGTTCAAAATATATTGGGTGACAGGATTGGGTAGACAACCGATGAGCTGTGAAGCCAAATTTTCGATACCGCTGGATCATGACCATTCGCGCAACCCGACGAAAGATGAGGTGGACGTCCAAGCCGTTTCTAAACCTTGACAATGGCTTGTATGCTACATGGAGTAAGTGGGAATTAATATCACAGTGCAACCAATCACTTTACTATACCCGGTCTTCGTCAGCGGTAGTGTACTTCCACCCTGGGGGATAGCAGCTTCCTCATTATGTTCTTTTTGCTGAATGAATTTCAGTTGTGCTTCTCTTATCTCACAGGATCGATCACTGGGATAACGATCAGGAATGTACGGTCTGTTTGACGAATCAAGTCCTCATGCTGATCAGTCTGAATTTCATCACGGAGAAGATTATCTGGGTACAGCGCATCCCGTTGAGCAATATTCACACGATTCGCTTGGGCAATCTCATGTCACCGCAATGGTCTGTTTTGCCGTGAGTATTATTCACTTGCATTTGCTATCGTTTTCAGCTTGCATAAGTGGCTCATACCTTATTCGCCTCGTCATTTTTCCGATTTTTGATTGGTTGCACTGCTCGGTCCCGTTACCCTTCTAGGATGCTGCGGACAATACAGTTGATACTAACAAGTTCAATTCTCCCCACTGACCTGAAAATGTACACCAATCGTGGAATCGGATACGAAAGTTATCGCAGTTACAGTACGGATTTGCATTTACTGTGAAATGCACATGAAACATAACCTTTTCGTTGTTTTCGTCATGCTAACAGGTATTGGTATTTTTAAACACGTTGATCTGGTCCGGAATGGCAAACTAATATCTATGGTAGCCCGCGTCAACCACCGCTATCATTTTGGGTGAAATTAAATCGTCATTGCTTTCGATGGCGATATCCTCCTGGACGGCTGGTGTGATGCTTGCCCTTACATTAGACAATAGGTGGTATTACTCTGTTGAGTTAAGGTGACTCAACAGATAGCCCCTGTTTTCATTGGCTTTCCCATGTGGATGGAGGCCTTTTAATCGAAACAGGTAATCGCCCACAAGTCGTTAAAATTCAAACAGTTGCTGAAGGGATTGGTATTCAAGCCACATCTAGACAATTTAAACCATCATCATCGACAGCATGAAATCAGTGTTCACCACCGATGCTTCACTGCCCTACAACCATTGTTTATTTGATTTATTTGTAGAGAAAATAATAAAGGTGGACGGGGAAGGAACTTAGTGCTAACTTACTACAATCATTCCGAGGTGCTTTCACCTCCAGGCTTTCACTCAGGCAATCTGCAATCTGGAGAGAAACTGACAACAAGATCGCCACCGACATCGGTTGGCAGCCATATCTTGTAGTGTCTCCAACCAGGCGCAGTGGGGATCGCGCGGTCCCCATCCTGGAAGGCGAGTAGCTTCGACCGTACCCAAATGATTCGTAATCCCTCTCATACTCGTCTACCAGGTCAACGGTAGGTCAACCTCTCTGCTTCCGCCAATCTGAATTGGGCACGGAGAACGATGGTTAGCTATACCCAACACATGTCCCAACCAACGCAGCTTCTGGTGCTGGACACATTCTTCAATGGAAGTACCCGTTGAACAGCCAAAACTCGTTACGGACTAGCTGACACCAACCTACACGAGCTATGGTTCTGAGACACCTGGAGATGTCTCAATTTCGCTGCTCGAACAGGCCAAGTCCCACAGCCATACGGCAAAACAGCCCGCATGGTAGCTTGATACATACATCCCTTGAGATTCAGGGATACAACATCTTGACGCCATAGGTGTTTCAAATTAGTAACCGCGACCCGAGCCTTGCAGATTCACACATTGACCTCAGCTGTCGTACTACAGTCAGAACTAATACAACTTCCAAGATATGTAAAACGCTCCACAAACTCGAGCGCCTCTCCCTGGATTGTAAGTGACGTGTTCAGTGACCGCATGTCCACGAGCATAACCTTGCACTTTGTGGATGCACAATGCATACCAAGTGACGCAATAACTTTGGTCAGTTCATCCAAAAAGAACGATGTCGTCTGTTCCGAATCGATAAGGTTTTCTTCACAAGCTATTTGGACACCGGGGTTCTGGAGACCTTCCAGCGTTCGTCCCATGATTTCATCGACCGTAAAGTTAAACAGGAATGTGAAGAGTGGGCACCCCTGACGGGGCACCACTTCGTGCATGGAAGCTTTCGGAGAACTCCCCGTATACTGTCACACGTCCAAAAGTGTGAGAACGCAAAGAGCTAATCCCTCTATTGGCAAGTATGTCAAAGAGAACAGATTGGTCAGCCGATTCGAATGTGCTTTGGAAATCCAATAATACTAGAATTGTGCGTCGCTTGTACGTAGGGTGTCGTTCTAGCACCTGACGGTATGAAGATTTGTTCAATGCAACCCCCACCAGGCCGGAATCCTGCTTGCTGCTCTGGAGTCAGTGTTTCACGAGCCACCATAATGTGACGGAGCACCAGTGACGCCAACATCCCTATGTACCGGAGCTTTTGTAGAGCTCTCCGTACACTCATCATCATCGACAGCACGACATCAGTGTTCAACACTGGTGCGTCACTGCCGTAGTACACTCTCACACGTCCGGAAGTCTGAGAATACAACGAACTTATTATGTTTACAAACTTCCGGGGCATTTCTTGGTTGGCAGGCGTGTCAAGCAAAACAGACCTCTCAACCGAGTCGGGTGCGCCTCGGAAATCCAGAAATATTGGAATTGTGGATCGCTTATACGTATGGCAGCACCTGACGGAGTGTGAAGATTTGGTCAACGCAACCCTTACTAGGCTGGAATCCCGCTTGCTGCTCTCGAGTCAGAGTTTCACGAGCTACCGTAAGGCGACAAAACGCAAACGCAAACGCCAACAGTCTCGTTAAGACCGGGTTCAAGCTGACCCCCCTGTGGCTACCACACTCAAAAGCCTAACCGCAAGGCAGCGGTTTTTTTTGCGGGAAGTGCAAATGCATTACCATTTCTGCGAAACAAGTCGTCACATGTCCAAACCCCCAACCTGGAGGGCCAGGAGACTGTTCGTCAGACCTCTAACCATTGATCAACTTGGTATGAGAGACTCTGTGAGGGTCACGGGGACACTCCCCATTATAGCTCAATGGATCGCTGAGGTGCGCAAAACATGGTAAGGTCCAGTCTCTCGTGATAATCTAAACTAGTTCGTCCTCAGGTATGTGCACGGAAACCATTCGTATTTTTTCTCTTGTCTGTTAGTACGATCTTGAATTTGGTATATTTCTGTTGTTGTCTAGACGTATCGTATTACCCATAAGGTTGCTGAAAACTCTTCGACCATCATAAACCAGAGATTCAGTCTATTTTGATGTCAAAACCAAATTCATGTGCAAATGAGTATTTTCCGAAACGATTTTTGCCTACCCTTGTAGCCCTTCCGTTAATGAGCCAACAGACACGTTTCTTATGAGTGCACAATGAACTATCTGCTTCGCGCATATCTGTATCACCCCGATAACTTGATTTACGTAGATTTAGTGGGAACCGGCATCATGATCACGTAGATTTTCTTCACTCACAGTGACCGAGTGCGGGTTCGCGCAATTCGAAGCTGTATCAGATGACTGACTCCAAGTCCTTACGGGGACTTCCGTAACCAGATTAGCGTTGGACAGGTTAGTGTCGGAGGTTTACAACGATTCATGAAATTAATCATGAACGCAGATTCTCATACATGGCGATCGTGGAAACCAGCTCCGCTTACTATTATATTTCCAGCAATAATTTATCTGGAGTTTGGGGGCATCTTCGGAGATACTCTTATATCATTTGCCTTGCTAATTGGATTGTCATTTGTGCAGATGTTCTTACTCACTGTGACAGTCTGGAATATAGAAGTAGACTTCGCACACAGGAATCTACATTTTGATACACGTTATTTTTTGGCTTATTTCACAGACATCGTAACTTTGGCGCGGTTCAACTTATTTGGGGTCCACTGGCAAACACTAGTTGGAAAGAACGTTGGAATCCGTTGTCCAGAGAGATTCCGGCAGCAACCTTGCACCATCATCCATGTTTTTACGCGCATGAGTTTCTGAAGGATAAGGATATGTACGATTGCGATACGCTAGTCGCTCGTCTGACTGTGATGCTTGAGCCCGTGGCGGTGCAGGTACGTGTTTTATTTGAAGCTGCCTTCGGTTAATTCGTTCAGACAAATTTTGGGTCATATTCCAGAAGAACTGTGTCTGATTTTTTGGGAATGGCAAATGGGCATCCTTTTCTCAGAGTTACAACAGACAGTGTGCAGGTTACGGTATTGTTATCACGTGACGGATTTGGATGCATCTGGATCGGTGAATATCAGCATTAAGACATTTCGGTCCATGATTTCCCACTCTAGGCATTGAATTGACGATGTGGGATGTCATCTTCATTGGAGGCTCCTTCCGATATCCAGTGAAATCCGTCCGTAGATCCAACTCCTTTGAAGTGACCATGATGGGTGTTTCCCTCACATTCGTCATGCAAACGAGCACTCACATTTCTGCTAGCAACAATGGGGGTCGTTCTAGCATACCTTAGCCCACATCGCCTCTCCGCTGATCATCCTTTCTGTTTCTTCTCTTACCTTCACGAACGATTGTAGATTGTAAATCGGGTTGGTTTTGTCTACCTAGGCGTGACTGGTCGCGACATCCATCACCGCCATGGTGGGCGGCTTCCAACCGGTGCCGTCAGTATGCGCTATGGAACAACTCACTGTATTCAGGACATGACTCGCTGCGACGAGCTTCTGGGATTAGTTAGTCAATGGTCAATCATTTGTGATATGTGCTTATTGCAGTCAGCAAGTAGCGTACTTTCCGATTCTTTCGATCAGGTAGCTGGACGTTGGTCATTAATCGAATGAATGGACACCAACTAAGAATGTGGATATGACCAAAGTCCTGATTTCTCACCCATTTCACTACCCGTTTGGGCGCTTATCTGAAACGTCTTTTGTATCGAATCCTGTTTCTACGTTCAGTACATTCAACGATAAAACGAAAAACAACCAAGCGCATTATGATGATATCTAGTTGTGTTTGAGATAAAAGTGGCACATGACGTGTGGATAAGAAGGAGGAATCCAGCCTAGATGCTGAATTTTGTAGTGCATGCTTTTACCCGCATAATCCGAACAGTTTTGTATGAACGAACTGATCATATTGCATGGCGAATTGGAATGGTCGGTGCTTTCGTACACTGGTGACCTGTCTCTGATAACTATTTCTGATCGACAGCGGTGAGGTCACTGAACTTCTGCGTGTTGCTGACAGTAGGTGGTTTGTTTCGACTATCGACTGTTTGTTTAATGTAGCACGTTCAGCGTAGCCAGTCGTGCAAGACGCACTCATTTTTGTTGATCTCGACCCTTTTTGGAACTTCAGTGTTCGGGACTTCATCTGACCTTCAGTTCCGAAAGGGCTTGTACAAGCATTGTACACGAAATTGGTCGATGTTTTGCCGTCGACGCAGTGCAACAGCCCCGCGCAGATTGTGGTTGTTCCCATAACGTTTCTTTTTTAGTCAGGTCAGAATTGAGTCCAGTATTGATTGCTAAATTTGTAGACAGGGTGCTGCTGAGGTAGCATGAGTTTACACCACACGACTCAATTTAAAGACAGGGTATCTGTTACTATGATCACTTTGAAGTTTGCTAAATACGGTAGTGACGTGTTGCCAAACCAAACGTTATCTGGTGCATTTCCGATGCCGGATATGCAAATAAAGTGCAGCTATTTTCTACCATACAACATGCGGATATCTGCTTCGTACAGCGTTGTTTTGATCATGACTCGTTTCCAGTCGAAGAGGTGACCTAGGTGGTACTGAATCGGTGCACCATATTCTGAGTCACGAGGCGCTTCTGCCACGATAATAATCAGATGAAGATTGGGCAAAATGGGGCGAAAACGCAAAGTTACCTCAATACCGTCTTGGTTCCAACCTCAGCGGAAATGAGTCTGCAGTTATGCACCTGGACGTTTGCACCGTGATGGGATGATGTGACAGTCTCACTTTCCCAAAATAGTGCAAGCCAAGTGAACAAAATTTACCTCTCTATTTCAGTTAACGCAATGTGAACACTGGCAAATAATCTGACTCTTCTGACAAAATCCCAGGCATCGTGCTTCGAAGTTTAATCTCCATAGGTAGATTGTTAACATCCATCTTCACGGGGGATTCAGGTAACTGGATAAGATAGTTTAAACCTATGCCAGATGAGTTGTTAATTAATGTTGGGAACTGTATTTTGAATCGTTTCTTGTGAAGCTGCCGACCTACATGAGGTTGGATCTATTGGCTCCTTTCAGCCTAGATAGTTTAAAGGTTGGGTTCAGTATCTTACTTCCTGTTGAAGTCTGTGTCGTTCTTGCCTACTTGGACAGATAGATGCATCCATTTCACGCTATCCATCTTGACACCTCTATGAAATTCGATGGTTGTGAGCGATCGCCTTGACCCGTTACTTCATTGCTGTCAATTGTTCTTTCAATGACTACGGTGCCGTTTTGCAGGATGATCTGTGGTAGACAGTCTGTGAAACCCTTCGTGATATGGATTGGTCCAACAGTTGCTTCGTACTCGGTGTGATTTATCGGTAGTATTGATCAGGAGTCAACCAGCATGTGACCACGTGGTGTGGGTTTCGTGGATAGCCTATATCCCACATGTGTAAAAAAAATCAATCAGCTGTACTACCCTTTCGGCGCCTAACTTCCATGCTACCAGGATGAAGCACGAGGGCTGGGATACTGTCAGGTTGCCCAAGCCTAGACAGGAGAAGTCGATAGGCGGAGGTCGGGTTCGAACCACGGAGCAAACTTGCGCTCCAACCATTGAGACATCCTGTCCCGTCCCGTCTATGTACTATTTGATCACACTGCTGATCAGTCACCTGCAACATGATTGTGTACTGTTCAACTTCTAACTGGTAGTCTCAGGTTTGAATTACCCTAGGGACTCATGAAGTGCATGCTTTTGATGGCTCACTACAAGACTAAAACAACTGTATTGTACTTATTGGCCTTACCGGCCGGATAGCTTCTCCACAGGTTGGTAGCAACTCTGTTCTGCAACGAGGAGGCTTCTTCAGGGCAAATCGCACTTGGAATAGCATCAACTCACGCTCTGTATTGCAATCCCCTTCACCCATTACCTTTGTCTTGAGAACTCAGTTAGGATCCCTTTGTCGGACAGCGATATAAGTCCATTAGATGTTCAGTCCACTTCTTCGATGCCTTTCCCGGTATTAGATCATATGTAATAGTGGTGGAAATTTCCACATTTGCACCCATCGTAAGTCGATGTAGGCTATCAAGGCTCATGGCTCCGATTCCGAACGGCCCGAATAACTGCGAAATACCTTCATTAGCAAACTACTTTGGTTCATTTGAGTCTGACTGGATCTCTCGTCTATGATGTCCTGCTTCAACTGAGTTTGAGCCACCATCCGCATTTTGTAGGTCTATTGCATTATCTAGTCGAATAATTTTTTTGATTTTATATAAAGAATGGCACAGTTCACTCTCCGTCAAAATTAACATACAACTACGCAGATTCATGGTACATCCGATTTCGTTGAACCGAACACTGTTGCGGACTACCGTAGCAGTGAGTGATGAAGAGTGGGTGGTATGTAGGTGGCTCCCAGAGAAGTGTGACTGCCTAGAATCATGGGAACTTTGTATGGTTCGCCGCCGCATGCCTTCGGCTTTGGTTGCTGAGTTGTTTGTTCACTTTCGCACTTAGTTTTCAGTGTCTGCTGTATGGAACTATGGTATATTGAGTTCTATTTTACTGTCTGAATGCTTTAGACACCACGGAATGTTAAGTCTGCTTGTACTCCCTGGTTTAGTCTATTGTCGTGGTTGGCAAATTACATTGTTGGTATGTTTTGCTTCGGTTTCTATTTTATTGTAGTTCATTGTATTGTACATCATGTGTGTGTTCGCAAATAAACCGCAACAAACTGCAACGGCACTAAAAATGAGGGTCTGCAACCGCTGTTATACGGACAACTGTTTTCTAGTCAGCTAGTCGTATGTGTGCGCACTGGTATGTCTAATGGTTGATACAGGTCACAAAGTTATATTTCACATTAGCTATGTTTCGACTGTTTAGTAGTCTTCACCGGGTTCGATAGTTGTGCAGCATCGATTGATCCTGCTATTAGCCTTCCAACTACCCCGTCCAATCCGTTCCCTTGGGTTTACATCGGGTGCAAGACATTTCTAGACACAAACCGCATGTAGCACTTCTTGTTGTACGTCGAGGTCCATCGACGTAGCGCAATATGGCAGGCAAATCCAAAAGCGATACCAATCCAGCATGGAGGTGAATAAGCCCAAGTCGAAACAACTAATGATTATCTTATCTTATCTACACTGGTCACGGAGAGGGAAAACTCTTGGAGAGAGTTTCTACAGTACCCAATGGTATCTTCTTTTTGAGGCTGTTAAAGTAATTTTTTTCAAATTATCCATCACACTAATTAAAGGTCTTTATAAAGTTCAAAATCTAGTATACCCTCGTTACATCATCAACCCTCTTGACACGCAAGTTTGTGTAAACGGATTCAATTTTCCACTCCCGTTGATATCTGTCATTCGTTCCACAGGATTCAGCACATCCCATTATGAAGCAAATAGGTGCGAACGTCTCTTTCTCAGGCATCGTCGTCCGAGGAGAAATATCGGAGATGTGGATTCACACCGTTGAGATTGAGTGATAATATTTGTTGTTTGAATACTGACCAGATACCCGTGATCAGTGTTGAAATGAGTTGTCAGCTCTCATGAGTTCGAATCCGTATGTAGTGCTTCTGGACTTTCAGCACAAGTTGAATTTGAATGGCATCCAAAGTTATGTATTCGGGACAGCGCAAAGTAGGTAAAAGAATGTCAGTTAGATGAAGGATTGTCTGCAAGGACAGTTGGTACAATCCAGAATTCCTTTCGGATGTAGCGTTTCTCTACAGGCAAAACGCACCAATACCTGTTTTGATTACGGGACACTAGCGGCATATTTTTAGTTCCTGTTAGGTTCGCTCTCAGTTGCACACTCCTGCTGTTTTGACAAGATCATATTGGTCCGTTTGCGCTAAAACACAGAACTGGACTCCACTTCCTCTCTTTTGGAGCCCACCAGTTGTGCAAATCTTCGGGTGTGTCGGAGTTTAAACCCTGATGTAAAAGATGAGCGTTACCACTACTCCACTAGCACAGACTGATTGCGTTTGGACAACTAATCACATGGGTGGCCAGTATATGTTGGTGAGTCTATTATTGCATGGTGTATGGTAGCCATAATATAATTCAAAAGGTATATGCACTAATAAAAGTTTTTACTATGGTTGACAATGGTGGGTTGCAACACCTATGGAAATAAATGCAATGCGAAATGTGGAGCAAATCAAAAGGGGAACTTATCGTTTGTGAGAGTTCCTAGGTGAAAGTCTGGGCGGTTGGAACGTGTTTTCTCTGCAATATGGCCGCTACACGTGTTCCATAATTGTCAGTGGACTTGCGGAGAGTGGTTGACTTCCTGCTTCCTTCGCGCGCGACTGTGTTTGTTGCTTGTGTTTGGCCTTCCTATGTATAGGTCCGTTTGTGTGTACGTGGGTGTGTCAGCACATAGGTTTTTGCTACGCTCAATCAATGTCAGATGAGTTAACTTTATGTGACGTGGTTCGTCAGTGTAGAAAAAAGACGAGTCTCGTGATCCAGTGAGCACTGTGAGCTTAACAGTCAATTGTGTGAATGTGGAGATAGCTACAAGTCCAAATGGCTCAATCCCAAGGGCGTGTGCTTGCTGGCCAGAAGGTCCGTGGTTCGAACTCAACCCCGACATCTCGACTGCTCTTGTCTAGGCTTGAGCAACCTGGCGGTATCTAAGTCCACATGTCTCTTTCAGCTAAGATGAAAGCTGCTAAGCACCAGAAGCGTGTTACAGCTGAGTGATTATGTTTATATTAATGTACGCTGATGGAGTATGGTCACACCACCGCCTCCCATTTCGGATATCCGAGATTCAAATCTCGGCAATGTCAACGATAAGCACTACCAATGCTCTGTGTTGAGAGAAAAAACAAGTCCAGTGTATTGTGATGCAGAATAACTATGTGGGAACGAGAATAACTTCAAGCGAGGGTGATGTGAACAGACGTTCGCCGTTTCTTAACTCTCTGACTTCATCGATTGATCAAGTTTTTTTAGCGCTGTATCGGACGCGTCTGGTATATCTAAAACTTTCGTACTGTGTTACAAACTGCCTGTTTCATTGTGGTTATCAGGTTCCTTCTGTCGAGAGTTTTGGCTGAGCTGCACGTAAGTACGGTGTGCCGAGTGGCTTGCTCATCCGTATCATGATAACTTTTATCCGCTTACACGTGGTGCAGCTAATATTAATTCATATTTGCTGAGGCATCTTATCTTCGCGTCAGTTTCGCTTCGCCTAATTAACCAGGTCGTTTAATCTGTTTTCCACCTATCTTTCGACTGGTCTGACGGGTGTTGCATCTCACTTGGCTGAGTCAATATTTTGCACTTGCGTAACTTTATTGCACATCAATACGTTATGTGTATCTCCGCCCAGTCACACAGAGTTGTGTGAAGTAGATTGGTTTATTGTCGCTTCCTAAAATCACATCACCACTGACGCAGAAAGAGGCTTTTTTTGATTTTTTTTTCACGCATGGATCAAGTAAGCCTCTGCCGAAGCTTGCCGACATCTTCATACGGGATCACACCACAGGAGTCTGCGTAGCACCCGAGCATCAGTTCGTGTCCGAAAGCAGCGACACAGTACTGTTACTAAAGGGATGAATTTTCCATTCAATTTCCTCCCAATAGGTTATCCTAAACGAACTGTATGGAAAACGGTTTATGACCTTTGAATTGGCTGATTTTACATCCAAGATAATCACAATTCACTTCGCAGTTGACCCAGGGCCGTTAGCCGACTTTCATGTTTACATTAGACCTTGAAACCCCTGCATGAAAACCCATTCTCTATATGTTTATGAAGACGATTACTTCGCATACTATGGTACTTATCCCCCATAGGAGATACCCAACTTGGGAAGCATTAAAAATGCGTCTCTCCTGAACAATGGTATTTCATTTACAAGCGGCAAATGAAATTAAGTAGTGTTTCAAGTTTGAAGGAATGTCGTTTTCGAATAATATTGATACTGGCGAATAGTCATTCTGACTGTGGTCAGTTCATTTGGCTCTGTGTGGTTTATCTGCCCTTACAATATATGGTAGCAGCCGTAAACGAGCAGTGTGCAATTATTTCGCCACTGTGAGCTCAAGGTTCAGAGTTTCTTCACGTTATTAGACAGATCTGTACGTTCTGTCAATGATATCCACTAATTGGTGGCTTTCTTCTAAAAACTACGTAACCACTCCGCTTTCGCTGTTGTAGGCATCTATAAAAATCTTTGGGGGACAGTTTGTCTCCAAAAATTGGTTCGGTCCGTTTCTCGCCGAGGTGGTTGCGATTCAACAGTTGTTTCTTTAAAGAGATATCTATTTTTAAGGATTCTTATGCTCGTTGGTAATGACGTAGTCACAGCCAAAAGCATGTGGAACGGTACTGTCATACGCTAATACACGCTGCATTCATTCCTATCAGTATCACCGAACACTTCCTTTAACAAACAAGGCACTATCAGCTGCCAGTTAAGTAAAATGCTGTTGCCGTGGTGATAAGTATTATGAGAGATTCATCAAGACAGTTACTATACGAACCTACTCAATTGGTTCACGAACGCTAACCCCACCCCTCTTATTTCACATCGCATATGCTATTCTAGGCCCGTGAATGCATTTGTTTCCCGACCCTATCTTTAGTCATTCCACCTGGTGTTTTCAAATAGTACTTTCCCTACCCATAGTTTTCGTCACAATGTTGGTGAACCATCCGTTTTTGCGTTCTTCTTTTGCAAAGCCGGTCCATCAGGACATTCTACTCAACTCCCGCTTTAATCTAGTCAACTTATTCTACAATCAGAGCAACCTGGGCTTCTGCAAGGATAGAAACGGGATGAGTTTCTAATCATAGTCCATCTGGGGGTACTTTCCTAGCGATGCCTCTGTCGGAGACCCAGCATGTCATATCACATACCACACGCATATCATACCGAATTTTTGTTGTATCATTTGTCTTTCTCATGCAAGGGTATTCTAAATGCTATTGATAAATTTGACTTTCTGATCATTAAAATGTGTCCGGCTTTGCATTTACTAAAACCAAAGGATGGATGGGATGGCAATAATTGCGCACCGGAAGGGAATCTAACAGTGCCTAGATTGTCTCCTGTGTACATTAGTTTCACGAAGAGACTGGATCTTACCGTGGTGGACTTGTTCCAAAGGTAATGCATTTGCATTTCCCGCCAAAACCACTGCCTTGCGGTTAGGCTTTTGAGCCAAAGGCTTTGGTTGAGGACCGGACCCGTCCTGCTGTCTAGGTGTGGGCGCCCTGGCAGTATCCCAGCCCTCGTACAACCATGACCTACACAACTAACAATATTCTCATGCCACATCGGCCGTCGCGTGGTGCCATCA